CTGCATTTTAGCAAGCTTTGGAAATAGTGCATCTTCTAATGCATTTTTGGATAGATCTGCTCTCATAAAAAAATTTCATTATTGAAATCACATTTCTCGACACTATTTAGACAGTTAATTTTTTTTTCATAGATCTGCTCTTGTCAAAAAAATTTAGTATTGAAATCACATTTCTCGACACTATTTGAAGGTGGGCTCTAATTTGATTATTTAGAGCTTCGGCTTCCCTCATTTGTCATTATGCGTCACAACAGTAACACATCCCACTCACACGATCATGTTTGAGCATATGGACCACAAACCTTTTATACTAGTGAATTAGCCTTTAAAACTTTAGGATAATTCAATGCATACCCTTTGCAGTGTACACGCACTTCTTAAACCCTTTAATAGAGTACATGGGCATCAAACCCTTTTATGATGTGCGTTAAAAATTGATGTACGTGCGAACATCTTTAAAGTAAATTAAGTGGTTTATAAATAGCGCTCACTCTCATATATACAATGATGTTCAAATTAAATATTCTATAAATAGATCTCTCTCTTATATAAGGACATCTATAAAATGAAATGGTCGATAACTTTTTTTAGGATTAATTATATTTATTTATTTTTATAATATACAAACATAAAATGCATATAATTAAGCTTTAATTACATATAATTACAAAAATAAAATTCCATATAATAATTTACAAAAATTAACATAACTATATGAATATGTTGTTTATTTATGTTAATAACTTAATATAATTATGTTAAATCCTAACTTAATAAATCCTAATTTCTTTTAGAAACTAAAATAACACTATTTTTAGAAATTTATAGTGATTTTTTTTAAAAAAAAAATTGGTACAAAAATTACCTATTTTACCGATTCTTCGATCAAATCCACCCATTCTCTAATCCAACATGGGTATGTATGAGACCAATTCAAGTCACCAATCCATTTTTTTAAAAATTTGTTCGTACAAAATAGTTTGCGTACCTAAAACAATTTGCTATGAAAGAGTCATTCAATTTCTATTTTTCCTTGTTTAGTTCATACGTCTGGAATTCCCATGTACCTTGCTTCTTATGTTTGGTCACTTGTTTTTGTTTCTTTGAGAGCCTACGGCTGGTAACTTGTTTATTAAACTCACTCCCAGAATCCACATACTTAACCGTTCAATTGAAATGTTGATGATTGGATATCAATATCCATTCAATTATGATGATTCCTTCATATCTAAACAAATGGATAGTTCATATGAATAAGGTCTGGTTCACTTTATTAAATTACACAAAGGCCATGGTTAATTAATCTGAGCATTCTCTCTCTCTGTCAAGATTAATAATATTTAAAATACAAAATCTATTAATAGTTTTTCTATTCCAAAGACATCACCATCCATATCCACCCCTAGAATGCATAACATAGGTACAAAGTTCCTCATTATGCTCCAATGTGCATCTTCAAAATAAAGTATAAAATGATACATATTGCCACAATCAAAGGGTAACACAACGATAGGTTATACTTTACAACTTTGGTGATGATTCAACGACCCCGCTTTTGATGCAGATTTGTACCAAAGTGAGCCTTGACTTCATCACTTGTATACCAAACGTCGTTTCTTAAAATTTTCAGAATGTTCTTTTGCTTCCTACAAAGTACAAAACTCTTGAATGAGTAATGGCATCCACTTTTGATGCAGGGAGATAATAAAACCAGAAAATTGGAAAAATACCCTCGCTCAACGGTCTGCGAGAATCCACCCCCAAAACAATCTCTTTCAAGAGAATAATTTTTATTCAATTCATAAACTGATTTACAATGAAAGGAGATGTCCTTTTAAATAGACTAAAATAAGATAACTAATAAAAAGCTTATCTCTACACCTATCCCTATTTTCTCTCTCTCATATCCACGGGCTTCTAGATAGCCAAGTTTTTCCTCTCATGTTTTACCCAAAAAAATCTCTCAAGTTGGTTATTGTTGATAAAGATAAACTCTCTTCTAAATTTACGCTTATCCTAATTATATCCATCAACCTAACCCAATTGATACAAGATAAACACAATATAAATTCTAAGTCGCTCTGCTAATTATCCCTGTGCACTCCCTAAACAAAAGAATAATTAAAATAATCCTAATAAATAACCCTAATAATTTCTCCTTATTACGTCATTACCTTTTCTTTCCCTCTTGTGCGACCCATTCACGAAGGGGCATGACTGCATCATTCCCCCCCAATTGAAAAGAACTCGACTCCGACGAGTTGGCTTCAGTATATATGCGATATAAGTTTGGATCCACTCTTTTGAACTCTGGCTCAAAAATCCACATGCTATCAGAGTATGACATGCCCTTCCATTTGACTAGAAATTGGCGATAGGAACCCTTTCGAGCTTGAAAGCTTTCAGTCTTCAAAACTTGCTCAATTTCATCATCTTTCTTCCTTGGTAATTTTTTCATCCTATCAACTACATCTTCTGTGACTTCTAGAAGGTCTCCGTGAAACTCAAATAAGTCAGCAACATTAAATATTGGGGAGATATCCAATGCCTTTAGTAATTCTACCTTATATGCATTGTTCCCATATTGCTTCAAGATGCGGCAAGGACCCACTTTTTTGGATTTGAGTTTATTATAGGTACCCAACGGAAACTTTTTCTTTCGCAAATACACCATTAGTAAGTCACCCTCCTTGAAAATCTTCTTTTCTATGCTCATTGGAAGCTTTTTGATACTTTGCATTGCTCTTCTCAAATTTCTTCTTGATTTGGGCTTGCAAATCTCGAATACGCTTAGCAAAAGCATTGGCATCTTCACTTATCTTGCCTAGCAAGGGTAATGGCACTACGTCCAACACACGATTAGGCGTCCACCCATTAACAATCTCAAATGGTGATTTTCCTGTAGATCGATTTGTTGAACTGTTGTAAGAAAACTCACCCTCAGGCAAAGCGAGGTCCCACTGAGATATGTTATCACCAATACTACTCCTCAAGAGATTACCAAGGTTTCTATTCACTACTTCAATCTGCCCATCTGTTTGAGGATGATATGCACTAGAAAATTGAAGTTTGGTTCCCATGCACTTCCATAAAGTGCGCCAAAAATGACTTAAATTTTTGTATCCCGATCAGATGTAATAGATTTAGGAACACCATGTAGCCTTACAATATCTTTGAAAAAGAGATTCGCGATATGTGCAGCATCCATAGTTCTTCTACAAGGAATAAAATGTGCCATTTTGGAAAATCAATCAACAACAACAAAAATAAAGTCCATACCTCGTGTGGTACGTGGAAGTCCAAGTATAAAATCCATAGAAATATCAACCCATGGGGCATTTGGAATAAGAAGAGGAGTATAAAGACCTGTATTTTGTGTGTGACCTTTATATACTTGGCAAGTTCGACATCAGGTCACAAATCGATCAACATCTCGTTGAAAACGTGGCCAAAAATATTTTTCCCCAACCATAGCCATAGTTTTGTCATTCCCAAAGTGTCCACCCAAGCCCTCACCATAAAGCTCCATGATTATCTTCTCCCATAGGGATCAATCAGATATACATAACTGCACACCTTTAAATAAACAACCATCATGCACGAGATACTCACCCATAGGGTCTCGCCCATCAACACACTTTTCAAGGACCTTGCTGAAAATTGGATCAACTTTATATTGATCTTTTGTCACTTCAAACCCCAACACTTCCATAGAGAAAGTTCTAAGCAACACTACCCTTCTATTTAAAGCATCAGCTACCTTATTTTGGGTTCCAACCTTGTGCTTTAATAGGAAGGTGTATTCTTGAAGGAAAGTCATCTACGTAGCATGTTGCGCATTCAAATTTTTCTGGGAACTCAAATACCAGAGTGCTTCATGATCTGAGTATAGAACAAACTCTCTAAGAATCAGGTAGTGCCTCCAGTAGCGTAACGCTTGCACCACTGCATAAAACTCGAGGTCATAAACCGAATACTTCTTACGTGCATCATTCAATTTCTCACTAAAGAAGGCCAATGGTCGTCCCTCTTGACTTAGAACTGCCCCTTTGCCAACATTTGATGCATCGGTTTCAATTTCAAACACCTTAGAAAAATCTGGTAAGGCAAGCACTGGTGCTTGCATCATCTTTTATTTAATTAGAGTGAAGCTCTTTTCAGCAGTGGAAATCCATGAAAACTTTCCAGCCCTCATACATGATCGCTAGGTCATGAAAAGAATGCACCTCAGTGAGTGACTTTGGGACCGGCCACTCAGCTATAGCTTTCACTTTTTCGTGATCCACCTTAATTCCCTCAAATGAAATAATATACCGCAGAAAGATAACATTGTTTGTCATAAATGAGCATTTTTTCAAATTCACAATAAGTGATTCATTTCCTTAGCACATCAAAAACTTGTTCCAAGTGGTTAAGATTATCATGTGGGTTAGCGCTAAAAACCAAAACAAATTTACCAATGTCACACCCCAAGAATTTACAGTACTGTTATTCCTGAGATGTGACAGACAAAACATATATACATCTATTGATAGGACAAATTTACAGTGACGAGGTCTTACAAAGTAAATAAAGAAAGCTAGCACAACAACAGT